TCCTAAAAGACTGAAAAGCATGGGTCGAGGTGGGTCGAGGCAAATTCGAGCTCCTCATAAACGAAGAAAACATCAGATGTCGCTTTTGGCTAGTTTTGCAGAGAACATAAAACTAGCACATTTTTAGAAGTTTAAAAAGCACATTCAGTCGATGTGTTTACTAGTCATCTGGAAATATTTGAACACATAAAAATAGATTTTTGCAAATTTTCTAAATCGCTTTCACGAAAGTTTTCAATATCTGGATCTCTGAAAAGTCGCCAAAAAAGGGAGTTTTTGATCATATTTAGTCGTACGAGAAAGAGCGTAGGCGATGCAGCTGAATGGGTTTCCTTTCAACCAGTTTTTCATATGGCTATTGAAAATTTCTCTACTGCACGGCGGTACAAATGGATAAGTTGTGGGGAATTTTAGTGATTCTGCAGAGAATTCGCTTCTACTAAATCGGAAAAAACTTAAACTAAACTCACTAGGTTGTGTCTGTAAGGCTAGAGATTCTTGCTCAAACTTTTTCGTTGGAATTGATAGTTGATGAGATGGGGCTTCATTAGCATTTGATTCTGAAGGTGCAACAACTGTGTTTGATATTGAAGGGTGTAAAATTGTTTGAATTTGTTGATAAAGTAGCTCAGCATACTCCGAATAATTGCTTGCATTACAACCACGGAAATCTACCCAGAGTAATCCAGCAGTGACCAAGCCTAAAGATAAGAAAGAATTGTTTAATAATAGTTTCTCAGACATCATGTCTTAGTGTAAAACAGAAAAACATTACCTAACCATCCAGTTGGCTTCCAATCTCTTTCAAGTCGAACTGGTAATATTGGAATATTTTTAGTTCTCGTATACTGTAACTCTTGTTGACAATTTTCTGAATTTTGATATTTTTGTGTTAAAAAACACACTACGACATTTGCATTTTCTACACCTTCAGCCATGCTATTAAACACAGTGAGTAAAAGTTGACATTTTTAGATCTAAATAGAAAATTAACTTACTTTAAACTTACCACTGATAGATATTTGCACTCATTCCACCGTTTATATCCATCCAAACTGCTAAATTTTTCGAGCGTAAAAAGGTATAGACATTTTTAACCAACTCTTGACTGGCCCATTGATAAGAAAGCATTGCATGTTTAGGCTGAGACGAACTTGCAGGTGCAACAGCAGCATGCGGCAACTGGTTCGCTTTTGTATCTATAGTTACTGTTGTGGTAGGGGTTGTTGCCGAGGTCGTTGATGAGCAATGTCCCATTTTTTTTGTGCTAACGGTTAATTAACTTTTAATCTAAAACTGAAAAAACCATTAAATTTCAGTGAAATAATCGGAGTCGTCTTCAAGTCTTGAATCGCGAAGACATCCAGAGAAGTATTGGAAAATCATATTCCAAAATATCAGGAAAATTATCATACTATCTCATCACTTTATCCACACATTGCCAGTTTGGAAATATTGAAGGAAGCTTTCATTAGCATGCTGAAAAGCAGCGAACCGCAGGAGCGATGATTCGACTGAATCATCAGCCCGCAATGCACCAATTTCATGATCTCATTGGATCGGTGGAAATCATTCTATTGCCCCGCATATCGCACAGTGGGCATTTGTTGCTGAAGCAGGCGAACTTTAGCTTTATGAGTGAACTAAAATTTCATAAACCATTTTTTTTTAGGTTTATCATGATCCTCTTTCTGATGCATGAGAGGTGGGTTTTGAAAAAGTTTTCTAAGAAGTTTTCTAGAGATCCGGTCTCTGGAAAACCGTTCAGAAAACTTTCTCAATATTTAAAAACGATGCCACTTGAAAGAGCAGGTCGAAAACCTGTAAGAAACATGTTTCGAGTCGTTCAGGTTACTTTATCCTGAAATTCAAATTTTCAGCACGAAATTGTTTGTGTGAATCTCAAAAACTAAGAAATTTCTAGAATTCAAAATCGAGCGACCGAAACTAGATGAGTTATACACCATTCGATGCAGTTTTTCACGCTGATTTCGCGTGAAAAGTGCTTTTTTGAGCGAGAAAACTGCGAAATACTTGAAAATCCCTAGAGTTTTTGGAAAGCCTGTAACTCAGCACCCCTAGAGTTAGGAGACTTTGTGAGATCTGTATATGAAGAGGAGGCTGAGTCGAACAGTTTGAGCTATTTTTCATATCAATAGCTGCTCAGCGGAGTTTAGGGATTGCATTTTTATGAGGACATCTTTTTGTTAGATGAGTTCCGTGGAATGATCTTCGCGCGTTCCCCGAAATTTAACTTTATCCGACGAAAATTTTCTTACGGCTAGATAGCCCAACAGATGGTGATTCTATATATGTCATTGTTTTTGAAAAAAGCTTATGATTTGACGGAGAAAATGCAATTTTACGCGCCAGCATACTAATTCTACTGGTATTTTTGTAATTTAATTTTCTCAACTTTGGAAGCTAGAGCCAAAAACTTTTCACCGTTAAATAGGGCACTATTTATAGTATGTATGTCATCACTCAAAATATAAAAATTCAAACCAGCAATTGAACCAAATGCCGCCTAAATGCTCACTGTGTAAGGAACATCTTTCTATACTCACTGTCACCGACATCGAAAGGATCAGTGCTCTGACAAACGTGTTGTAACTATTTTACTGCCTATGATTGATTCATTCACAGTTACTGCCACAAACTTTATATACAAAAAATGTCTGTCTACCTGCGTTTCTTTGCTTTTTTTACTATTTTCTTCCAGCAACTGCCGTGTTACCCGAGTAAACAAAATAAAACTGAAGAGAAGAAAGGAAAATTCTTTTAAAATTATAAAATATAGTAAAAAGAAACAACTGTTCATATATCCAAAACCATCAGTTGGTGAGAAGATTCAGCAGAGAATAACTAATAAATAAGAATCAGAAAAAAATTCTTTTACAGCGTGAACAACTTTACTCGTCCAACCGAACACGTGGTCAGAAAAGCAGAAGAATTTTGTTCAGACAGTGCAGAGAGACAAACCAACAGATAGCAAAATATTTGGATAAAAAAGGAAACCAAAAACGTACCACTACTTCCGTAGTATTAGTAATGAAAAGGCAACTACGGAAGTAGTGGTACGTTTTTGGTTTCCTTTTTTATCCAAATATTTTGCTATCTGTTGGTTTGTCTCT